ATATTAATTATTTTTAACAATTAAATAAAAATAAAAATTTGACAATTTTAATAAACTTAATAAAATTAATATTAGCCATAACAATATCACAATGGGACAGATATTTTGTCTCTAATTTTTTTGGGTGAGAACTCCATTGCCCATACCTTATGTTTTATTGAAATGTCGTGGACCTAATTGGTAACTACTTTAAAAGGTTAGGATCCATACAACAAAAAAGAAAAGGTTAGGATCCATACAATAAAAAAGAAAAGGTTAGGATCCATGAGTGCCGTTAACCTAAATTAATACTTATTATTATACTCCTAAATAAGGTGGTTAGTGACTCGTTACGACTTAGGATAGGGTGTGAAGGGGTGACACGTGGCATATACTTCTAGCATGTTCTCGAGCCTTTCGGGGATTAGGTTCTCCGATCAGCCGGAAAGTATAGCAGCCAAACCCAAAATGCCTGCAATTACACGCGCCTCCATATCTCCTCCCCTTCCTCCTCCTCCGTTAAACCGTCGTCACCTCCTCCTCACCGGACTCACCGTCTCCTTCTCTCCACTCCCCCTCCCCATACCGCCTGCCGGTGCCCGTGGCCTCTTACGGATGCCCCCACCTCGGCTCAGCAACCGGTAATTCAGCCCATTCTCTTTTGCGGTTTTGCGTCTAATTTAGAGTTCTGGGTTTACTTTCCTGTTGAAATTTGGAATTAATTGTTTGGGGGTGTGTAAAGGTACTTTTTGGTGAGAGCTGGGGAGTCTGAATATGAGAGCTTGGGAATAATTAACACAAACCCGGTAGCAAAAACATCCGTTGATAGTGGATTATCTGAGAAAGGGAAGAAGCAGACGGTGAGGGCTGCTTTGGAATTGCAGGGAATGGAAGCCTGTGAAAGAAACTGTTGGATTTGGCCTTCTATCACCCAGAGAGCTTACCAGGCTGCTGAGATTATTGCTTCAGTAAATGGGGTCAGTCGTAGGTATGAAGATGTTAATATTGTTCATAATTTATTAGTCTAAAAGTTCAAACGTAGATTCTGCTTAAAGGAGGAAATTTTTTGGTTTAATGTTCTTGAACTTGAAACTGGAAATCAAAAGCTCAAATAGTAGCATTCCCAACTTAGTTATGCTAAAGAGTATATTGTGAAAGGAACTATGAATGTGATCTGGTTTTGTAAGAATTGTTTGAGACATTTCCATTGCTCTGCATTGGTCCAAACTTGGTTTGAATTGGTAGCAGTTATATAGTCCCGGAGTATAGCTTCCTCGACGCTCGTGGATTGGGAGCGTTTGAAGGCAAGAAATTGGAAGCTGTTTCTGAAGTAAGATTTCTTCATTCGTTTTGTGGAATTATTTTAGATGTATGCATTTTTTAGCAGGTTTTCTTTCCCTTTTTTTTATTATTTTTTTTTTCTCTAGATGCTTGTCATTCTGATCCCTTAAATGCCTGAGCTGTGCTACCTGCATGAGTCAGGTTTATGCTTCAGATAGCATTTCCCCTACAATCAAGCCTCCTCCAACAGACGATGGAACCCCAAATGAAAGCGTGTCTGATGTATTCGTTCGTGTGACACAACTCATGTCAATTCTTGAGACTCAGTACTCTGAAGACACCATAGTAATTGTCTCACCGGATTCTGACAATTTGACAATCCTACAAGCTGGTCTAGTTGGACTTGACCTTAGAAGGTAATGTGAAAGTCATTTAACAGGCTGATGAAGTTTTTAGGAAATTCAAATAATATACACCAAACACCGGAACATGAATAATTGACACCTAATCCAGTTGTAAAAGGAAAGGGAAAGAATGTTTTCATATCTAAACTATGATTAATTTCTTTCTCTTACAGGCACAATGATCTTTCCTTTGCTCCTGGGGAAGTTAGATTTGTTGATACAAGTAGCATTCCTACATATAAGCAGCCTGCATCAGCTGTATATAAATGTTTTAATCCGCCTAACTGTAACTAATATTATTTCCTAACAAAATTTGACTCACCTAAGAAGAATGAAGACCTGCTGGGTGCTACAGCTGGCTGTGTCCCTTCCTGCATGAGAAGCCACAAAATGTTCATTTTTGTTATTCTTTTTGTCCACCACTAAGTATTTGTCAAGATCTTTGGAGTATAAATCACATAAAAATAAAACTGGTGCCTTTTCCATTTTTTATGGCTACCGAGCGGCAAAAACTGACTGGACAGAGCTTAATTTCTTGTCACTATTGTCACGAACTGAGGATGCATATAACATGATAAGTGGTAGTATGCTAAGGTTGGTTCTTCTAAAATATTTACTTTTGAAATTATATTTCCATTATCACTTCTTGCCTCTCAGAAAGTGCTGTGTTCCTTGACACTTGTGCATATCTTTTTTCCTGTAGTATGCACTTTGCCTGATTATTTTTCTTCTAGGAATGCTTTTGAGGTATGTCTAGTTCTCACAAGTTGCTGTCATGTTAATTAAGGTTGTTTGCTATTGATTAGATAATGCCACTGTAGTAACACGAATGACTTGTTTATTGCTTGGTCAGATGACACGCACACACAATAACAAATGCACCCACATGCGTAGTGATCCACAAATGCAGACAGAGAAGGATTTTTGGGGGTGGGAGTGGGGGTGGGGGTGGGGGTGGGGATGGGGGAGGGGGGAGGAAGAAGAAGACCTATAGTCAAAGTCAATATAGCTTAATTATGAGGACAAGGACAAATTTTACCTACCATCCGTCCATTATTGTTTTTCAATTATTGTTTTTCAAACGGACTAGGTTAAACTCCCAACTTAGGAACATGGTGTAGATTCAAAGACTAGTTGTACATCTCATTTGGCATCATCAAAAACAGAAACAGTACCTTTCTCGGCCCTGGACTAAGATCAGTAAACGGCAATGCGCAATGCTTTTCTAGGGTATGGAAATTTGAGAAAAGAACAAAATAGGTAGGTAGTTGCAATCAGCTGCAGATAATGCTCTAATCTGATGACCATTGTGAATTAGATATTGATTGATATACATTTTGATTTAATATATTACATAATATATTTATTTAAAAATTATTTTTTGATTCAAAATTAAAGTTAAATAAATTTAAAACCACAATCATATATGTAGAATGTAAGGATAAGTTAAATTCATTGAATTTATATTATATTTTAATAATTAAACTAAATTAAACATAAAAAAATATATTAAATTAAGGTTTTAGGCATAGAAGTATAAACCTTTCATGGCATAGGCAACTCTGGAAGTTGATTCAAATTTTCAGGAACAAGTTCTAGTATAGTGAAATCTTTGGTGATTTGCATTTTCTTTATTAAATCTTTTCAAAATGCCTTGTTAATCTATTTACTTTTCTGTTGCATGTAAAAACAAATTTCTGTTTCAAATTACATTCTTCTAAATCTAATAGTTGTTCCCTTTTGAAATTTCTGTTAACTTTTAAATTTTGACTCATAAAGCAAAATGTAGTCTTAGCGAATAAAGCTTGGCTTTGGTTTGTGTTTACAGTTTACACTATGATTTCCAGTACCTCACCATGTTGGATTTGATCATTTCCCTCCAAAGAAATTATAAATGTAATCCTGACAGCCAAGCAACAATTGAGAATCATAACACCTCAGAAACTTTCCTTTCAAGGCACACTTTATACCCAATTTATTTTGGTTAAATGCTAAATTTGGTCCCTCAACTTTGTAGAGTTGCACTTTTTTGGTCCCTCAATAATTTTTTGCACTTTTTTGATCCCTCAACTCTAAAAAATGCACAACGTTAATCCTTCGGTCAATTTGGGCCGTTAAATCCACCCACATGGCATTTTTTATATTTTTTTAATGACAAATTGATGACATGGAGAAAACAACTTCAAAAGATGTTGATATGGACAAAACATTATGCCATGTCATACTCTCACAAATTAAATGCACTAAAACCCTTCAAATGGGGTCCCATATTACATGCAAAGAACTAATTAAAAGAACAATATGTCTATGAACCTTAGAATGCTCTAGAGCAAAATTTGAGTTCTCTGTCATCGAACCCAGCCATTAGTTACATTAAAGCCACTAAATTCATCAAGCCTAGTAGATATCATCAAATCAAATTAACCTTTCAATAAACAATATCAATCAAACTCTAATAAAATTCCAACGAAAATGCAATCAAACTCTAATCAAATTCCAACAAAAATGCAATCAAACTGTAAATCAACTCCCAAATTAAATGGAAATTGAAAGAAGAATGAAAAAACATGAACCTAGCATTGAAACCCAGCAAGGCTGGGTTCGACCCAACTGCCGGGTTCGTCAAAACCCAGCCTTGCTGGTTGCGTGAACCCAGCAGCTGGGTTCATCGAAACCCAGCCTTGTTGTACACGCGAACCTAGCAATTGGGTTTCGACAAACCTAATAGATTTGGGTAATAAGGAAAGAAAGAGAAAGAAAGAGAAAGAAAGAAGGAGAAGAAGAGGGATTGGGAGGTGAGGGTAATAAAGTAATTTTATTTTTTAATTAAAATATAAATATTTATCTATGTGACATTTTTATTTATCTATATAACATAATTATAATATATATTATTGCCACGTCATCAAAAAAATTAAAAGAAAATGTCAAGTAAAATCATTTA